TACCCAAATTTTCGAACCGAATTTTCATTTTTAAAACAAGAAAACCATATCAATTTCATTCTCAACGAGTAAACATCTAATTGTTTTAAACATCATAAAATCAGAGTTATAATAAAATCAATAGTATGAAAATCTCCAAAACACAAAAGTAGATGCGATGCAATCACGTTGTGCTCTTCCCTTTGTTGCTAGGAGCATCTGAAACATTTAACCTTAAAATTGTAAGCACAAACTTAATGAGTTCCCAAAATACCACATACAGTACAAATACGGGTCTAATCCAATAGGTTTGTTTCAATTATACAGGCCCAGCCCAACAGGAATGACCCAACAAGCACGCAAGCATATTACATCTAGCTCAAAATACAATAAACATATAATGTCCTACACAGAATTGTGAGAAGACACACCTAAATCAAACGTCGAAAGACAAACACTCAAAGTCTCGCAACATCAGCTACACGATCCACCTAAACCAACAAACGCTCTAACCTTAGTCTATAGCTAAAAACCTTCAAGTTTGACCAAAAGTCAAACTAGTCAAATAGTTAAAGTCATGGGTCAAAGTTAAGGATCAACCACCACCGACTACCGCACCGCAACCAACTATTTGGTCGTGTAGTGGTCACCAATGGACAAAACAATCACGACTGAATCTCACGACCCATGCCACGACCTACAACCCATTGTACTGACAGTATACGTACTCACAACTGACATGTCAAGCTCTTAAACCTTAATGATTTACATTCCAAATCTCCAGAACATAGTAAAACATCATCTCAATGATTAAATTTTGCAACTTTATCCACTTACATGGCTCTAAATCTCTAATCTCCTAATCTAGGTAAAATGGCACTAAAATGCCATCCAAAACCATGCATGGTCAAAAGGAAAGGTAAGATCTCATCATTTGCACCACAATGGGTTTAGAGAACCCAAAGACTTTACTTTTAAACTTGGAGTTGTCCAAACTCCAACACAAATCCAAAAAATGGAAAATATATGCAATAAATCCTAGATCTACAAAACTACATGAATAAAATGTGCAAGCTTAAAGACTTACAGAGGTCCCAAGTGTGGCAAGAATATTGATGAGGTCTGGATCTGAGCTAGAAACACCATTTATCCCTGAATATTCATAACCAAAAGCTCTCCACACCACAAGGAATGCCAAATAAGGTATGAAAGAGTAAGGAGAGGTTAAGGTTTCGTTCACAAAGAAGGTGGCTACAATAATGAGAAACCCTAGAGGGTTAGTGCACTTATATAATGCCTTAAGCCTGAAATTTCGGGTTTTACGTCCAACTGCCACCGTGTTACAGTCTAGCTCCTGACCGCACCACTACTTAAATTACATGGGTGTGTCATGCCGGTCTTCATCACCGCGTCCGACTAAACAAAACCTCGAACCCCCAAATTTAATTAAATAACCATAAAGTAACACATACCAAATTTCGTATGTTACAACTTCCTTCTCCCACACAGAAACATATGTTACTTAATAGTCGACCCAAGTTCTCATACTTTAGTTAACACCTTCCTTTTTAACATACATATACAACGAAATAATGAAAAAAGTTGTTTTTAAATCGATAACAATAATAATAATAATAATAATAATAATAATAATAATAATAATAATAATAATAATAATGGTGTCCATTACCTAATTGATGAGTGCCAACCTAGCAACCATACAACCTGCCCCTAAATCAGACTCAAGCTTCGTCGCATGAGCAGGAAAGCAGACTCATGCTTCAGGTATTGTTGTCTCCCACAAGATAGACAATTGAGGACGTCCACTACATGAAGGAACTGTTAGAAATAGTATTCAATATCATCAACTATTGGTGATATTTCTAAACATTAACAGGGCCCTTTTGGGTTTTCCTCATAACAAAAATGAGAAATTAAAAGAAATAGAATTAAGAGGAAAATACTTTTATTAATCTATTATGTTTAATAAATTAATTTGTCACACCCCCAAACCGAAACGGTGGAAACGTTCGGGGCGGATGACGTCATGTACGGTATCACAACAATTGAATAATAGTAATCAAAGCAACAATAACCATTCCATTGATAATATAGAGTTTACATTGTGTTCGCAACATTGTTTGTGTAACACCAAAAGTGTATAGCAAAAATTGTAAGATGTGATGTTATGATGCTATGTCTTCTCAAAATCTATAAGTGTACCTATCTACTGGTTCCCTGAGCATACAAGTGATTTTGAAAGTGTATCAACATTTAAATAGGTGAGTGCATAAACATTTTTGTTTTAGAGGTCTATCTTTGTTCTTTGAAACCGGTAGTGTGTTTCCTCCAGAAAATCCAATATTTTCTTTTGTAAATGAAATGTAGTGTTAGGCGTTAAGACCAAAATGCATGTGTGTTATTGTACTCTGTACTAGTATAGTGTAATCTTATTATTAAATAAAACCATATAAATGAAGGCTTCCCCGAAATGTATGTTGTACTGTATTTGGAAAATAGTGTACTGTATTGGGAAAATAGTGTACTATATTGTATTTGTATGAAAACCCTTTGTATGTATGTGCCTGGAATCCACCAGTTGTACTGTAAAGTAGTGTAATGTAGTTCTATTATTAAAATAAACCATTGAAGTTATGATTGTCCCGTAAACCAAAATGTTTAGTTAATGCTTATTGTGAGTGATATTATAAACATGCTAAAATGACTACTGGCCTACACAACATTCTTCAGGAGTCGGAATGCTATGACATTTGTCACCCCAGACCTATCGGTGTAACTGTAGCTAACAATTTTGGTGCAAGATTGTCAGTCACGTATAAATCTATACACAAATTCACGCTCTCCCTACAGGAGACTCTGGTTAAAATTCAGGACTTTAGCATGTACTCTAGAAGGTACGATGAAGTAGTGGCTCACAATCATGTATTAACTTGTTTATGTATAGTGTGTAATGTTCTCTTGTTCTTGTAAATGTATTTATTCCCCTTTTGTAGTGTACTCGTAGTGTAAAATAATTATACTTAAATAATTATTTTTGTATTGTATCTTTGAACTTAGTAAAATAGTGTATATGTTCCATAAAGTATACCTATTATAGTTTAATATGTATGCTCTTGTATTTTTCTTAAACTGGTAGAGTAGTATGCATGTTCCATAAACTATACCTATTATAGTTTAGAAATATGTTTTGTATGTAATGAAAATATTTTTGAAAATACCCCTTTACTCGGCATGTTACAAAAGGGTTAAAGTTGTATTTAAATAAGTTTTCATTTGTTTAAAGTATCTATTGTGTTATTGTATGCATAAATGTGAGCCAATCAAATTTACATATTTTAAGAAAGTGATTAATATATATTGTTGAATTAAATATAATTGTAAAATATCATCTTAATTTATTATACGGGTAATTCAGTAAATTAATATAGACTTAATAAAGGAAAATTGCATTTTTTAAGGGATCATGGATACTATTAATTTAAAAAATCTGATTTTAAGAATTATAATTATTTTAATTCGGACATTCTGACAGAATATGTTTATGAATATATTCAAAATTAAAAATATTCTTGAAC